ACCCTGGAGACCCTGGCATTGGAGGGAAGAGTGGGGTTCTCTCCACAGACAGCTGAGAACCCTGAGATTTGAGAATACTGCTAACCAAGAGGGAGGTTAGGTGAGTTGCTTGACCAATTCATACTACCAGGATTATGTTTTTGTTCAATGTTTCAGATGCAACGCAGAAGGAAAGTCATTTTTCTCCTTCGCCAGTCAAATTATGAGGCCCTTCAGATTTGCTTCCTGCTGATAGTGGAAACCCAAGCTGCCAGCCATTACTGAAGGCCTCACAGCCCAGCGGCACCTACAGGGGTCAGGTAGTTGGTGAAATGACTGAGGTGGACCGGGAGATGCCCGACTAGAAAGCGTGTGCCAAGCCCAGAGCACAGAGCTTCTGCTCCGTCCTTGCAGGGTGTTGGCTGACTTTTCCATTTAAAACTTTCATTACAGCTTTTTTTGGGAGAACTGGTGATCTACCTGCAAAATAATGAAATTGGGTCTTTATCTCACACTATATATTAAAAATCACCTTAAAATGGATTAAAGACATATTTAAAACCCAAAACTATAAAACTAATAGAAAAAATGTAAGGAAAACATTCCATACATTGTGCTAGGCCACACTTTTTGGGAAATGGCCCTGTAAGGACTGGTGTCACAAACAGAAATAGATAAATACAATGATAACAAACTAAAAGCTTCTTACAGCAAGGGAGGAGATAACCTAGAGAATGGGAGAAAATCTATGCAAACCATACAATGAATAAGAAGTTAAAATTTAAAATGCATAAGGAATTCAGGGGAAAGGGGAGAAAAAAGAATTAAGATGTGTTATGTACATGTACCAATTCTTCACAATGAACAAAAGTAAATAAAAACCTAAGGGGGAAAAGGAATTCAAACAACTCAATAGCAATGAAAAAAAAAGATTAAAAATGGGCAAAGGACTTGAGCAGACACTTTCGAAATGAAACATACAAATGAGCTACTAGTCAGTGAAAAACTTGTCAGTATCACTCATCATTAGGGCAGTGCAAATTTGAACCACAATGAGACAGAGTCTCACACCCATTAGAAGGCCTTCTATTAAAAAAAAAAAGTTAACAAGTGTTGGTAAAGACATAGAGAAAAGGGAAATCTTATACATTATTGATAGGAATGTAAATTACTACAGCCATTATGGAAAACCAGTATAGAGGTTTCTCAAAATACTACAACTGTATGATCTGGTATTCCCACTCCTGAGCATTATCCAAAGGAAATGCGATCAATACGTCAGAGAGATGGTGTGTACTCCCACATTCACTGCAGTCTTTTCCACAGTAGCCAAGAAATGCAAACAGCCCAATGCCCATCAGCTGGTGGGTGGATAGAGAAGACGTGGTAGCTATATGCAACAGTATGCTAAGCGAAATAACTCAGCCACAGAAAGATTAACACCCCCCACTTTCACTTTTATATTGAACTTTTTTTTTGGTACCGGAGATCGAACTCGGGTCCATGCGCTTGTGCAGCAGGCAGCGAAACCACTGAGCTAAATCCCTGGCCCTATATTGAACTTTTAAAAAGCTGAACTCATAGAAACATAATGAGTTACCAGAGGCTGCAGGGCAGGGGGAGGAGTGGGGCATGGTTGAGCAAAGGATACAAAGTTTCAGTTAAGAAAGGAATAAGATTTGAGATCTGCTTACAGGAGGGTGATATAGCCAATAACAATGTACTCCTATCAAAATAATTAAGGGAATAAATTTCAAATCTTACTATAATAAAGGTCAGGTAAATGAGGTGATGGTTATGTTAACTAGCCTGATTAAATCACTCCACAATGTGTACATGGATCAAAACATTAAATCGTACCCCATGCATGTATATAATTATGATTTGTCAATTAAAAATACTTTAAATGTAAAAATCAAGACATTCTTTACATTGAGGCTGCAATTTACATGCAGATTGGGATAGGCATATGGTTTAGTGAGGATTTCTATGCATTTAAGAATTTCTTGTTACTGAGAAATATCGCTTGATAATCTCCATCCAATCTCTGCCATATCACACAACCACAGTTCTGATTTTTCACGGATTAGTTTTGCCTACTCTAGAACTTCATATAGAACATCTGATTTTTTTATTTTGGGTACCAGGGATTGAACTCAGGACCTTGTGGTTGCGAGGCAGGCAGCGGAACCACTGAGCTAAATCCCCGGCTAGAACATCTGATTTTTAAAAAGAACTGAAAACTATATTTTTACAAATCTTTCTCAACTTTGAATGCAGGAGACCTATGCTGATTGCCTCCTACATGGTGGGCAAGGGCTCTACCACTGAGCTGCCGCCCAACCAAATCCTGATTTGTGACAAAACATTGTGCAGCAGACCCAATAAAACACCACGGCTTCACTCAGCCCAATAACAGCACAATTACTTTGTGTCCAGTCTATGGTATAAACCAAGAGTATGTTTTGTACAAGTTTATTAAGATTCCTCCCATGATCCTTAGTTTGGTACCACCCAGCAGTTATTATTCCCGGATCTGGGAGAGAAGGAAAGCGAAGCACATGTCAAAGGGGTATAGGAGGAATCAGAGAACTCAAGCTGCTGAAATTCTGGTCAAACAGCAGGAAGCCCATCTTCCTGTCTCCTCAAGGCTGGCTCTGCAGGGCCCTGAAGGCCTCGCCTGCTGATCTGCGCTTCGCAGCCTCCCGAGCTCTCACCTCCTTTCTTCACTTCCCACCTGGTCACTTCCTGCCTGTCACTGCTCCAGCCTGGCCCCTCTTCACTGTTTGGGGACCTGAAGGTGCAGAACCCAGTCCTTCACCACCTTCTGCCCTGAGCTCAGGATCCCTCTCATGTGACCACGTTATTTTAAAAATCGTACCACTCCACCTCTTTCTTTTTCTTCACAGCGCCTGTCAAGTCTGAAACACAGTAGTACATCTGCACTGCATTTGACTTTTGTATTTCTGTCCCGCCTCCATGCTCCACAAGAACATGAGCCACACGAGGACAGGCACACGGTAGGGATTCACTCCACAGCTGTTGAATGATGAGAGAATCAAGGAAGAGGGAAAGAAAGGAGAAAGGAAGAAATCAACACCTCTGCTACCTCTGGAGACAAAAGTGTTCAATGAAACCGTGACTAGTTAAAACACTTTATCATTTCTAGTTATTTTACAACCTCTTTATTATTTTGCAGAAGTAAAGATTTAAAAAGCAAACTAGTAGTAACCTTAAGGCCTAGCATAACCCTGACTAGTCTTATCATCTTAAAAATTAGGTGTGTGGAAGGACAAATGTTTATATAAACACATGGGCCTTTGAGTTTAGTAATAATTAAGTTTTTCATTAAAGTTATGATGGCAAATCCATCTTTCCTTAGTAACTCTTGTACCTTAATTCATTTTAAGCAGTGGGTGAAGAATGAATTATGAAATAATAAAATAGCATGTGCCCAATACCCTGAACTCTTTGAGAATAATGATCAGCATAACATGAATCTAATTCTAAAAGTTTTTTTAAAAAATGGCAGTGAATACAAGCAGCGCTGGTGGCTAAGCTGGTGAGAGTTGGATTTTTGACAATGAGTAAGGGCAGCAACTCTGAGACACAAAGGTAAAGAACTCTACTGGGGGGAAATCTCCAACCCAAGGAATTATCCGGAATGAAGTCTGGCCCTGGGATTGGTTAACACTGGGTACAGGCTGCTAGTTCACTGTGGGTACTGCCAAGAACAGTCAGGGAGCCCCGGCCCCAAGCTCACACGTAGACACACAGAGCAGGGAGGACACACACACACACACACACACACACACACACACCCCTTTTGGTCTTCTAGCTATTTCAGGATAGGAGACACAAAGAAGATCATGAGTCACACTTTTATAAGTTTAAACCTAAGAACAAGTTTTCAAGTGTCAACAGCTACAGAATTTACAACACCAAGGCAACGAGATCAGGTCCCAAGAAATGAGTGAGGTAAACAACGTCCTTTCTTTCCCCCCTCCCAGGTCTGGTAACTCAATCGCCTCTGACAACTTGAGAAGGTGTGAGGACCACTTTTTATCTTAGCTGGGACAGAGGAGCTCACATTTCCACTGCCATCAAGGTGATCATCGCTATCCCTTGTTGACACCTTTCTCCTGCACCCTGACAAGTCACAGAGCACTTGGAGGAGAAGTTTCAAGAGGTGATTAAACACTGGCATGGATACCCAGGAGATGCAACTGTCCCCCGGGACCTCGAGGCACAGCTGATCACCAGAATGCAGGGGGACCGAGAACGCAGCAGAGCATGGTGGGGCACAGAGAAAGGGGGCTGGACTGCTTCTGAGATGCTCGCTTCGGACTTGGTGACCATCTGGCCCATGTCGTGCTCGGCCAGGTCATGTGAAGCAGATTTTGCAGGCCTGCTTTCTGTCCTAAGATGACACAATCTCAGAATCGGTTCTCAGTGATTATTGAGCCCAGGGATTTTCTATCTTGGCTGGATGTTAGTATCACCTAAGGGGCCTGGGCCTACCTCAGTCCAATTACATCAGAATCTTTGCTTGGTACTTTATTTTTTAAAGTACACTCCCAGGCATCCAAGTACACATCAGTGGATGAGAACCAGTGGCCCCACATGCCACCTTACTTTTACACATAGAAACACTAGGGCCTAAAGAATTGAATTGACTTGTGACTGTCCCACAATTACACACCTCGCTAGGAACAAAGCTCGCATTAAAACCATGATCTCCAAGAATTTACTCTCCAATGAACATCTATCAGGGATACTCTAGAACTGATGACCAGCACCCATTTGCCACCCAGAAATAAGGTCAGTCCAAGCTCATGGATACCTAAGAATCAATTAGGCTGATCTGACCTAAGTGAAGTGAGACCAGCGAGATGGCTCTGCCCTCTCCCTTAGACTTTTCATCCAAATAGCAGGGTGTGATTCGCGCCTCTGGATCTGGGAAAATCCATGCCTCCTTAGGACCTGCTCCCAGCATCACTAGTTCCGGGAGGTCTACTTACCCGGGGCCAGGGAGCGGCGGGTGGAAAGGCAGGGGACAGGACCCCAGCAGGAGCTCCAGCACTGCTAGTGTCTCCCTGAGCAGAGGCCGAGAGCTGGAGAGGGAGACCTCACCGTCCCCTGGGGGAAGGAGAGGAAAGCGGAGTTAGCCGACTGCTGCTGGCCTGTTCTTTGGAAGGTCTGCCGCGCCTTTGTTCATTCCTGATACCAACCCAGCCTTCTGAGACGCAGCAACGCTATCCCAGCAGCTTACATGCAACATGGTGCTATGACAGGAAAACACACATACAGGAAGATTTCAGGGGCCTGGAAGGCAAGGTCCAATGCCTGAACTCAGCCCTTCCCATCCTGAGCAAAACACTGGTGCAAAAATCGTGCGTGAGAAACTGTTCAGTACTGCGAGTAAATCACCGCAGAAGTACTTTTCTTGAGAAGAGCAAGAAAAATAGAAACATGAGAGCTTTATAATGTTCAAGATCAAAGTTGATTTTGGTCAATTAAAAAATTAATAGGACTAAAGTCTTTCACAAATGATACAATGACTGATTCCCACTGACAACTCAGCGGCCAGATATTTATTCCACTTGGAAGTAGATTAAACTGTATCTACCTACTTTGTGGATTTCTGCCCATCACTGTTTCCATTTCCCTCTATCTAGGTGCCTCTATTGTGGTGTGCCATTCGAAAACAATGGTTTTTAATCTGGGCACCAGGAATACAAAGATTTGCCACATTATTTTTTGTTCATTCATTTGTTTGTTTGTTTTCTGGAGATAAAGTCCCAAGCATTTGCCAGTCTGGAAGAGGACCTGTTCCCAGCCCTAGGATACAGCTGGGCTACACAGGTAATGCTGGAGAGAGAAGATAAGGATGTTGTGTTTGCTGGTTCTATAAAGAAAGATCTTACAAAAGTGGTCCCTGGAACTATCCTTCAAAAGATTTCATGAAATTGGGTCCATCCTTCAAAAGAATGGATTTAGATTAAAAAAATAATTTGGGAGGCACCAGAGGCTTAAACTTTTCCATGTTGCTTTTGTCTTCTTTCATGTAAGATTTCACTAGTTTGAAAGCAAAGCAAAGGAAAAATCATTTCCTCACTTTTCTTGATTTTAACTTAATGATAATATAAACATACAAGGGAGAACGGACACATCTTCTTAGTTTTATTTCCTAGAAAACGGCTTACTTTGAAATTATTAAAATGCAGATTACCCATGAGGGTAGAAAAATGACATAATGATTAAGGTACCAGGGACACACAAAGCACTGGAATGAGATGAAAACTCAACTGATTCTGATTTCAGGCACAGTCAGTGCAAACTCGTATGTACACTGTGTTTTTAGTCTGGCTGCTTTTGGTTAGGAAATTTCCTGTCTCCCATTCTTCTTTACCTGTTCACAAAGTGCCTGCCCACAGAGGCACTCAAATACTTGTTAGACTAAGGCAATGCTTTCGGTATCGCTCATAAATTACTGAGGAAGTGTAACTCTGTATAGTTTCAAGGTAGAGAGAGAGGGAGGGAGGGGGAGAGAGACAGAGAGAGAGAGAGAGA